TGAGAGGGCATTGTGAAGCTATGAGTGTGAAGCCAAAGCTAAAAGGTTGAAGAAGCCAGGAATATGGATATCTGAGGAAGTCACAAGGAGTGAACAGAGCCAGCCCAAGAGAGAAGCAATGGGAGCTACAACCATCAGAAGTACCGTAGGGGCAGAGCCACCCAAGCCCTTTGAAGTTCACATCTTGCCCCAGATTTCACTGGTTACTGGACATGGAACTATGGAATTTCATCTTTGCCCTGCTGGATTTTGGTCTTGCTTTGTTTCCATTCCTTTCTATCCCCCCTCTTGGTATCTTTTGGAATGGAAATGTTTGTTTTGTGCTATTGTATGTGACATTCCACTGCCTCAACATTAGACGTCCTTGAAATTTATTCCACCACACTTAATTTCAGTCTCAGGCAAAGTTTCTGAACAAGACCAAATTGGAGAGAAATTTTCTGCCAAAGCATAACACACTTGGTCTGGAGTCCAATAACCAATGCAGTACTTCTTCCTAACAGAAACCTCCTAAGCATGGTCCTTACTGTCAGCATTTTTATCAGCAACCTGGTTTTCTGAGATCTGACCAGAATCTGTCATCAAGTTCAGCTTACAGCATTCCAGGGCTGCTTTTTCAGTTGACATCTTCAAACCTTCCCAAAATCTTTCTACAAGCCAATTTCAAAGTCTTCTGAACCACCTGGCCAGGTGGCATCACAGCAATGGTCCCATTTGTCTGGTACCAAAATCTGTCTTAGTTACTTTTAGCAGTGCTGCAACAAAGTACCCTATCTCCACAAGTTAAAGGAGGAAAGGTTTATTTCAAGTCACATTTTGTAAAGGTTCTGGTCCATAGCCAGCTGGCTCCAAGGCAGTGTGGCATGGCAGAGGAGCATGACAGAAGAGAAACAGTCCATAGTAACCCGGCAGAAAATGGCAAAGCAGCAAGCAGCAAGCAGCAGCCTGCCTTCTTTCTGTCCCTTATATTCCATTCAGGCTTTAAGCCTATTAATTAGTGCCACCCATACCCAGGGTGGGGCTTCCATTATTCACACCCTCAATCCCAGTATCACACCCTTAATCCACATTCACTCTGTAATCTAGCTACCTTTGAAACTTCCCACCTATGAATACATGAGGCCCTGGGGGGACATCTAGACACAAGCCTTAACATCTCCTACATCCTATATCCTCAATATCTCACAGCATTGTTTTCTGCTTGGCCTGGACAAAGTTCCAGTTGTCTCCACACAGGACTCTAGGCTACTAACAACTGGTGGAAGTTGGCACACCAATGAATCCTTTTTGCAGTCCTGTGCCTTTACCAATGGGCCAATTGAGAAGAAGAGGAACCAGTTTTCCTTTTATATATATTTATTAAAGATTTACTATATGCATACTGTGCATTGTATGACTCCATTATGTTAATTAGTAGGCTCTCTTCAAGGAGAGCATCACATCACATCAAGTGCCTAATTCATATTCTCTGGTCTCTAGGTCAAGGACTCAGCTTACTCATTCAACACATTTCCAAGCCCCTTTCTGTTTTACATTTCATATTTATAAAGCACTGGATAAGGTCTTTTGGTGGTGGTGATTGTGATGTCAGGAAGATAATGAGACTTGGTCAATGTTCTGCAGTAAGTTGCAAAACCCCAGGGTTTTTTGTTTTCCAATGACTTATTTTCCTCTTGTAGACCAAGATTATAAAATTCTCACAGAGGTCTGAGTTTCTCTTACAGCTTCTTAGGCCTCCCTAAGTTTTTGCACAGCCAATTGCTTTTAACGTTAATTGGTTTTTGTTTTGTTTTGTTTTGTTTTAGTGCTGGGGATCGAACTCAGGTCCTTGTGCTTGTGCTGCAAAACTACTGGGCTAAATCCCCGGCCCTACATTAATTGTTTTAATAAGTGTGCTACATCTAGAGTATGCTTCTGGTAGACTTTTTTTCTTCTTAGTCTAGTATCTTCCTCTCTTCTAATCTCTAAATTACCTCTTGATCTTTGTGCTGTTCAACAGAATTTGTTTCCAACTATAGCCAAGAATACTTTTTAAGGAAAATATGTACAAATGTTTCTTTTGATCAACCAAAAGATGATGTATGTGGCTTAATAAAATTTTCAGACTCCTAATTTTCTTATTAGTGGTACAAACCATTAGTATCTACCTTAAATGCCAGTACCTTCATTAATGATTTCATTAGCTCCAGCTAGCAAAATTCCTGACATATACAGTGTATACTTGACTTACAGACTCAATTTGTTTGTGAGAGTTGATTGTAACTCAAGTTGGTCAATTGCGGGCTCAGGCTCCTCTACACAGCCTTCAAAGTCTCTCTCTTGTATAAAGGCAGATCTCAGTGTCCTTAGAGAGATATTGGCCCAGGATTTCTCAATTGACCCCATACAGGAAAGGATGTTGTAATGCTCCCTCCAGAATTTTTTAAGGGTTAAATCTACATCTGAGACCATCTGGAAGCACAAGCATCTGGCATTTGGGTCAAAACTCAAGACTTTGGTTGTAAGTTAAAACTAAAATTCCAGTTGTAACCCAAGTTTTTTCATATGTCAG